AACCTGACACTCGTAGCTGTGGTTAGCCAAAGTCACCTTAACTTTTCTCTTTGTTAGTCTCTCCCCCATGAAGTTTGGGTAAAGCCTTCATTGCTCTGAGTACTAGGAAACCCCTCCCCCTGCAGACATTGTGGGATTATTTATTTATTATTAATAAACTGGACAAACTGGAGACGTGGTCTGAAGTAAACAGGATGAAATCCAATAAGGACAAATGCAAGGACATTTTCGTGGTCTGAAGTAAACAGGATGAAATCCAATACGGACAAATGCAAGGTACTCCATTTAAGGAAGGACCAGTAACTTGCACACATACAAAATGGGAAATGAGTGCCTAAGAAGGAGCATTGTGGAAAGGGTTCCGGGGGTCAGAGTGAATCACAAGGTAAATATGAGTCAATAGTGTAACACTTGCAAAAAAAAGTAACCATCATTCTGGGACGTCTCAGCAGGAGTGTTGTAAGCCAGACACAAGAAGCAATTCTTCTATTCTACTCCATGCTGATGAGGCCTAAGCTGGAGTTTTAGGTCTAGTTCTGAGCACCACACTTCAGGAAAAATGTGGGCAAATTAGAGAAAGTCCAGAGAAGAGCAACAAAAATGATTAAAGGTCTAGAAAATATGGCCCATGAGGGAACATTGAAAAAACTGGGTTTGTTTGGTCTGAAAAAGAGAAGACTGAGGGGGAGACACGCTAACCAGTTTTCAAGGATATAAAGAATTGTGACTAGGAGGTAGGAGACAACATGTTCTCCGTAACGTCTGATAATAGGACAAGAAGCAATGGGCTTAAGTTGCAGCAAGGGTGGTTTAGGTTGGGCATTAGGAGCAACTGCACAACTATCGGGATAGAAAAGCTCTGGAACAAATTGCCTAGGGATGTTGTGCAATCTCCCTTGTTGGAGGGTATTCGACAGTGGGTCAGACCAACACCTGTCAGCAGGGCCGGCTTTAGGAAATGTGGGGCCCAATTCAAACAATTTCAACGGGACCCCACAGCAATTTTGGTGGAGCAAAAAAAAAAAAATTCACACAATAGTTTCAATAGGGGGGCCCAGAAAAAAAAACCCACACACAACTCACACCTCCTGCGGCGCAGGCAGCCACCGCACTCCTCCTCCAGGGCTGACGCCCCCTCCCGCAGCACGCCCGGCACACTTCCTTTAGGCGCGGGGGAATTGGACGATTCGGCCTAAGGCCGGTCCTGCTTGTCAGGGATGGGTTATAATACTTAGTCCTGCCTTGAGTGCCAGGGGCTGGACTAGATGACCTCTTGAAGTCCCTTCCAGTCCTACAATTCTATAATTCATTTACCAACCCTGTAAATGAAACCTGAACCGTGGATTCCTGGCTTTGGGACATGCTCTTGCTCAACTCACCTGCCATTTTGGTAGCATCCAGATTGCGTGGGATTCTGAGGAAGCGATCACAAGATCCACTCTATACGAAAATGGGGGAGGGGTAAGAGAAAGAAAGTGAGTCAATAGGTGACTTTTTTTGGCAAAAAATCAAGTGCTACACTGCACATGGAAATGTGCATCCCTACAGTAATGCTCACACAGCACTTTGCAATGAGCAAATAAATATCATTCTCCCATGTTGCCGATGGGGAAACTCAGATGCAGAGAGATGAAGTGACTTGTCCAAGCCCACACAGTATGTCAGGGAAATTGTTGACTGCAGAGCTCAGGTGCCCAGACCTCCTCCCCCATCATCCTGCCCTGCTGGATCTAAACCCTTCATAGACATTTTCCAAACATGTTAGAGAATATACTTTAAAGTTCAGGCACAAATATAGGCATACCCACAGCACAGTCACCCAGACAAATTTCCTCTCGGGGTACATGGCTGGAAGGGGAACGATGCCTCCTTTCACCGTGACAAGGGAGTGGATAAACCTTGGCACATTTGTACATTTTCTCAACCATCCTAGGTCCCAGGCTTCCTGCCACCGATGTCCATGGTGGCCCCAAATGAGCACAGATCTCCCTCTCTCCATAACACTGTTCACCTGCCCTCTAGTCCTGCTAGAAACAGGAGCAAGGTCCCCCGTGATCCTGCCACACAACTAGCTGTGCTGGAGAGAAGGGTGTTTGTATACAACTGCACCCGTTTGTGTCCCTTTCCCGGGAGCTCTTGCACAGACAAGACCCTTTGATTCTCAGAACCTGTGGGGCTTTGGCTTCACTTTGGAAAAAGGCGTGATTTTACCATGGGATAGCTTCCCTCGTGCAGAGGCTTTTCAGCCAAACGTAGTACAGAAAGAGCACAAAGTGGCCAAACGAAAGGAGAGAAATGTCTTGGCCAAGACACCTGCAGCGCCTGTTCCGCCCGGCGTTAGCTTTAATCTCACACTCTGTTAAGAACCGGTGCCGAGTTTCAGATTTCTAGAGGGTTTGCTCCAGCTCCGGCCAGGGAAGCCTGGATAGAACAGTGTGTACCACCACGGGAAGGTGGCCCTGCCCATCGCCAAGGCAACCGCAGGGTCTTTGCTCAAAACTGTAGAAACCATTTCATATTTAGCTAGAAGCCATCTTGTATAACAGAAACCATTTCAGCTTTTCTCTCAAGCACGGAGACCAGAGTGAGCTTTCTGTCACCCTGTGAGAAGAGGCCTACAGGATGGGCTATTGGAATGTGTTAATTGGGCTGGCTGGGACAGGAGATGTACTCCCTCGTACCTGTCCGCCATCTTGCTGATAAAGCTTTGTTATTCCAAGTTTAATTGAGGATTTCTGTAATTGGATGCCCTGACGTCGGACTGTTTGGTTAAGGGTATAAAGATACTGGGATTGATTGTATTAAGCAGCCTTACTGGGCCCGGCTTTGCTGGGACCACGTCTGGCTCATACTGTGTGCTTTATTCATTAATAAAGCTGTTGGTTAGCTGCCTAAACAGAGAGGAGCGTTTTTGCCTTTAGAGAGAGCCCCAACGGCTGAGTGAGTTGCGAAGCCCCTTCTGTGCGGACCTGCAGAGGGGAGGCGCTGTTACAGCCCCGCCTGCAGTGTGTTGCCTCTT